TCATAATATTTCAGGCAGAGAAGAACTGCAAGAAACTTTTGATGGAAAAAAATAACTGGAAAAAGTAGCTTGCATTAAGACAACATAATAAATTTTCGTTACAAGATGGTAAAGGCAGCACAATTTATAATGTTTGTTAGTTTTTTTATTTTGCAAATTTTAAAGATTTGTAAAATAATAACAATATTAATAAACAAAAATTTGGATTTGTTATGTAGTAGATTTTCAACATTTCAGGACATGGCAAATCAAACAAATAAAATAAAAAAACATAAATAAATCATAAAGATTGTCATTTATGCTGTGTTGCTGTGATGTGGGTGAGTAAACCAAGTTCGACCATGGTGCAATACTTGATCTAGGGCATGATACAGCACTCGGATTGGAGCTGCTAACATTTCAACTGAGGGAAGAGAAAATAAGATGAACAAAATTATTAGAACATAAAATCAAAAGAAATACTATTGTTTTCCACAAAAAAAAATATTCAGATACAATCCATTTCATCCCAATCGTGTTTAATTGAGTACTCTACAGCAAGAACAGTTCTTATCCATCCAAAATGCAATTCCAAATATTTGTCTTTAAAATGTGCAAAATCTTATAATCTATCAAAAAGACAAATACAGGTGTAAGGTTTATGTGTTGTGGTGTATTTTCATGTACCGTGCCTTTAAGACACGGGCGCGCGCTTCAGGGCGTGTGCGCGCCTTTTGTTTAGAGTCCAGCTTAACATCACGCTGTTAGGACCCCTCTTCCATCTCTCTCGCTGAATAAACATGTCCAAAGCTGAAGATATTGTCTTTTTTCCAGTCCTGTGTTAGCTGAAGAGTTTCTTTAACAGTMAAAAAGGTTCCAGCAAGCAGACGACGACAAGACGCTATCTGATTTTCATCAACCCAGAGGAGCAGCAAGCAGCAGCCACCAGACGAGGGGAGACGAAGAGGGTCCAGCGGGGAACATCCAGCTCGCTGACAGCCTCAGATGAACTGAAAAGAACTCAACAAAATGGCGTCACGAACCAGGCCTGCACAGTCTTAAGGTTAATATTGAACTAACGGGGGTAATATTGGCCATATTTACTTCTGTTTATTTGATTTTTAAGCCTCAGACTCAGGGCGGTTCAGTGAGGTTTGTCGGCTTTTCACAGCGTTGGGCTCCGTGTAATTTCTGGTTTTTTGTCATTGTTTTGTTTTGTATTGTGTGTTGAACCTTGCTAATTTATTTATTTTTTTGATGTGTCGCCCGCCACAGAGATTGTGCGTTCTCTGGTGGTTTATGAGTTAAAGTGCGCGTACTAATGAAGAAAAGTGTGGAGTTGCAACTCTAAGTGTTGTGTGTTAGCCGCTACTCCGTGGCTAATGAAACGGGTCGGTCGCAGAGACGTCTGTGCTGCCTCGGTTGGCTACTGGTAGGGAGCGGTTGTACGAAGCCGTTCAGCCTAGATTTTTTGTTAGCTTGCCCGGATAAAGTACCCGGTTGCAGTTTTCTTTTGAGGCCTAAGATCTGTTTAATTCCGATGGAAAAAGGCCGGGGAGGTAATAAAAAACTGGGTGGTGGAAGCTCCGTCGAATAATGGTAGTTTAAAGGGGACACGTCAGGGATTTTTTGTTGGTTTTTTTATTTCTGTTCAAGCAAGGAGTACAGATCTGTGTGTTGTCTGTCCTAAATGTGTTTTATGTTAAATGTGGGGTTTTCATGTTTTTTCTGTTTATTTTTGTGAATTGCCTTGGCATAATTGGGCTGGAACCAAATTGTGTGGGTGCAAAGTTTTTTTTCTTGCTGCAATTTCCTTTGTCCTGTCTAAAAGTGATTTATTGCTGGAAAGCTTCAGGAGTGGGGGTTGTTTTTCTGCTGCTGTGAGAGCATCTGGATTGCATTAACCTGTTTTTTTTTTCTCTCTCTATCTGTGGTTCTTTGTTAGGAGCGCCTCCTGCTGGTGAGAGAGACTACTCCTGCTGCAGGACTGAGCTGTGGCTGCTCCATTTTCTTTTGATCAGGCGAGTGATTCTGTTCTATCCACAAACTAAAAAAAAAAAAAAGAAAAAGAGAGAAACAAAGCATTATCTTTGTGACCGTTTCAATTTCATTTCACGGTCAAAGGGAGGTATGTGGATACAAAGTTGGGTTCAAACTCTAGTTGAAAAATTGCTTTATTGAAAGAAAGAAAGAACAGAGTTGATTTGTAGTTTTTGGTATAGTTTCATTTTATTTTATTTTATTCGGAGGTACATTGATCAACCTTGGCCAGAAATAGGGACATTTAATTTGTCAGTCATCGAAACTATAAAAACTTTAATAAGCACACACAAAGCACATCAAAAAGCAGGAAAAAGTGGCATAAAAAGGAAGATGAAACGTGAAAGGGAGTTAGCTATGTTACAACTTTTTCATGATGAAGGCAAAGTTAGGATAATGGCATGGAAGGGGGGAGAGACTGATGAAAGTGTTAAGGAGAAGATGTTAACACCATCTAAAGAAAATGGTCTACACAAAGATCAGAACACTGATAAGA